CTTATTTCCTCTGCCTTGTATAAAATCAGGTCAACTGCATTCTACAAGTGAAGATCTTTAGTTAGAATATCTCTTATTTACAGGTAAACACAATCAATGCGAGCTCTGATGGATCGTTGCTGTTATCAGGAACTAAAGAAGGAACAGTGAGCATTTGGGACATTGCTGATTCATCTATATTACATCAGCTCCCTTGCCACAATGGACCCGTTCTTGATGTTGCTCTGAGTCCTGGTAATTATTTCCACAGTATTTTTAAGCAGTTGTTGACTAAAAAAGTTATTTCACGCAAAATTAGTTGGTTTGTTAGTAGCAGATGTCTAAATCAGTAGTTCATCTTTTGGTATTTGACATTGGGTTGTATTTATAGTTTCACTTGAAGTATTTGTGCTATAAGAGGCAAAGCCAGCTTTAAAGCTGGCCAGCGATGAAATCACAAAATTGCGGCCCCTTTCTCCAGCTGACAAAGATTTTATTGCTCATTTCTTTTCAAAGGGAGCATGTAACATGGATTAAAACTTCCGTCATCCAAGGTTCTGCAGTCCTCCCTGCTGGGCCTGGTTGTGATGACCAGGATCTCTGAAACCAATCTCCTTGTGGTCTCCAACTGGTCTTGTCTCCCTGCTCCTCACTGAAGTCATGACGTACAATGCAGAACCAGCAGCCTCTGTAGGTCATGCATTGTACATGGTGACGAAGTAGTGTTCATCCACATTCAAGAAAAAGACTGGAGAACCAGAGTAACTGTTAAATCATCACCTTCATAGAATGAACATTAACTCCTAATCATTTTGTTCATTCAATGTTTTATTAAGTTCCTGGACATCAGCTTTAAAGCTGACATAAGGTAATCTAATAACTACCGGTATATGAGGGGGCCTGAAAAGTCAATAATACTTATACTTTTGCATTCTGACGGATGGTCCCTTAATGGTTCTACAAGCACTACTTGTCATTTGTATCTCTTTGCTATATTTGTTACACACATGGTCAACAGTTCCCCGGGCCAACCTGACTCTTTCATGTGTGACTGTACCTTTTAAGGTGGTACGGGGTAACCTCTTGTGCTCAGTTCAAGTGATTGCTACACATGTGAGAACCATTCACTTATTAGGCCCCTCTACAGCACTCTAAAATGTTTCCAAATCAAAGCTGTATGGGCTAAAGAATCTTAAGCAACTGACACACTAATGCATGTGTTGGATGCCTAGACTCCGGCTGCCAGCTGTGCTTCCATTCAGCAGCCACAGTAGTGACATTGGGGTCGGCAGATAAAACCGCAGTGGAAAGAAGTGGATCCCATATTCTAATATTTTTCCTATATAGTTTATACTTATAAAGAGGTAATATTGGATTAGTGTTAAAAAAAGAACTATGGGGTAAGTGTTTTTCCCCATAGTACTCTTTAGGGTCACGGGAAGGCATATACTAACCTCCTCACGTGACCCAAAGCTCAGTATATAGTGGGTTACTGCCCTGTTTTGCTGACACCGCTGCAGCTGGGATGGATCCCTACAATACTGTTGAGATCCACCCAGCTGCTTGAGTGACAGCTGGTTCTGACTATCTAGAGGCAGAGCCAGCTGTGCCCGCCCCCTCCCCCGTTTGTTCCTCCACTCAACACTGGAGGATCGGAGAGGGGAGGGGGGAATCCCTGCGCGGAGGGGGGAATCCCTGCGCGGAGGGGGGAATCCCTGCGGGGAGCGGTGACTGAGAGTCACCGCTCACTGCAGGGAGACAATCGGGAAGTGAGCGGATCGGTGTATGTTTCTGCTCATTTCCTGATCAATAGAGCCGACCTGTGACAGCTTCTTTGTCACAGGTCGGCTCTAACTATGAGGATGAGTGGAAATCACTAACCTCATAGCTCATGTTTTAAGTGTTTTTATCTCCCTTTTATACATCCCAAGATTGTTTTGCTTGCTTATGCTTATGCCTCTTGGCATTGAGTTTTGCTGCTTATCATTAACTAGTATTCCGGAGTCCTTCTCCATCTCTGTTTTGGCCACCTGTATTCTAATTAATGTAAAGGGTGGTAATGCTGTTCCCCTGGCCTAGATATGTAAGGTTAAATTGTTTTATACATCTCTAGCCAGCTTAGTAATAATTCTACCTAATTTTGTGTCATCAGAAATAATAGTAATAATTTTGTCTGTTGTTTTTATCCCCCAGACTATTACTACATAGATTTAGTACACGTGTTCAATTGTTTCAACTCTTAACATAATTATTATTCTTGCTTTTAATAAAAATGTTACAATGCAAAGTCCAGATGGGAGCACATCCTATTACAGGTTGTAAGTGATAACACTCACAGGAGAGCACTGGTCCAATGTTTACTATATTTCACACACCTTATTGCAATAAAAGGCAAATCTATGCCTCCAATTTTCACCCCAACCACGGTTCTCATGCTAGGCTACTCTTGGGTGATGTAACACTAGTTCTTTCTGTGTGTGTATGAATAGTTACAGCATAAAACATAAATGCAAATTCTTCATTTTATATATAGGAATCTAACAGCTATCTATCTATAGCTTGACCAAGTATAGCTATGGGCTTTCTGCACATTTTTACATACGATGAATGTTTAGGTGAACCTGTCACTAAACTAAAAATACTGACTGGTCTCCAGCACCTAGTAGAGCCTGCATATACGTTTTGTTGCCACCTTCACCGGGTTGCCCCAAATCTACAATATTCAAATTCGATATACTTCCTGAACTGGCCTACCTCCTCCACACTTCTTGGCTCTTGTTATTAGTTAATCACCGTTGACCTACTGGTCTACAGAAAGCAACAGAGGGGGGAAGGTCAGCTCTACACTATCGGGAATTGTCATTATTTTCATATTTCATCACTGCTGGATTACAAGAGTTTCACGCAAAGGTATATGTAAGCACCGATAGATGCTCTCTATGGTGTTGCAAACCCCTTGCTAAGGGAAACCTTTCCTGAGAGGAGACATGGAGGTTGCTATAGCCACTGCTCATTATGTAAATTCTAGTTTCCCACCTGCCACTCTTGCTTTAATACTTTGTACCTGGAACAAACATGCAAATATGCATGTGGCTCAAACTATATTGAACCTAGTTGGTCAGTGCACTAGCCATGCATTTTCCTAAATGCAGGATTATAGAAAAAAAGAAAATTGACCTACCAACCAGGGGCATAACTGGAAATCACAGGGCCCCATAGCAAAATGTTGTATGGGGCCGCCTGATTTCTAGTTATGCCCCTTGCATAGCCCACCTGATATACCAAACAGCCCACCTGAGAGTGACCCTGCAGAGCCCGCCATAGACCCTCTATGGCGGGCTCTGCAGGGTCTCGGGTGGGCTGCACACCTCTTACCTGTCAGCGTGGTCCCCGGGCCCCGCTTCCTCTTTCATCATGGGGCCCTGTATTCTCTATTGATGGGCCCGGCCTCCTCTTACATTGCTGGCCCCTCCTGTTCTTAGGTCGCCAGGCCCCGCCTCCTCCACTGCAAACGCCGTTTCCAGTCTCTTCTGCAGCACCTGCTGGCTGTTACTGACACAGCTCCGCGGTGGATGTGAGGAAGAACGCGCCCACTGCAGACATCACTGAAAGGTTGTCAGTGATCTAACAGCGGAGCGTTCCTCTTGACAGCCAGCACCCTGATATGCCATAGCGACACAGGTGGCCCGCACGGCATCAGAGGGATGCCCTGGCCGGGCCCCCCTATGCCGGGGCCCCATAGCGGCCACCTGGGTCGCTATGTCGATTGTTACACCACTGCTACCAACCCTCTGGTTGCTGGAGTCCACAGCGTGCCTTAATATCCAAATCTGCAATAGTTACTGTTTGGGACTACAACAGACCCATGAAAAATACAGTAAATATACTGCAATAATAACCTTATAAATAGGGATGCACCGATAACAAAAAAATTTCCAGTACGAGTACCGATGCTTTTCCTTAAGTACTCGTGAAAACGTCCAGTCACTACTTATACACACAGACAAACATAATCCATTCCTTACCTTGGGATTGGATAAAATGCAGGGCACTGAATTTATCAGAGGTGCTAAGAACTATTGTCTAGCCTGCAAGCATCTACTACTGCCAAGTGCTCTGCACAAGATTTCTGTTTACCAGGCATGAAATATGATTGTACAAAAAGAAAACTGACAAACTATGTCCTTTCAGACAACAGACACGCACTTTCAGCTGGAGAAGATGGCTGCCTAAAAATCACAGATGTCCAATCTGGAATGCTCATCTCCTCTCTACCCTCAGGAGAAGTTCAAAGGTAAAACATCCCTCTTAGGAGGAATAGTTTTTATTTCTTATAATTAAAGCGGAACTCCAGGAATGTAAAAAGTTAACCTTTGCAGTGGGGCTAACCCCACGATTCAAGCTAACTCACTGCTCGTTTACGTCTAGGGGCTCAAGTACAAAAAATACACTTATCTGATCCCACCTGGCTGCTACACTGGTCCCCGCGGCCTCTTCCTTCCTCCGCTGACGTCATCTTGTCTAATGCAGTCCATTCACTTGCTTTAGACTTGAGGATGCCAGGGGACATGCCGGAGCGGAGGGGAGAGAGGTGAGCACTCATCTTTTGTAGGACCGAGGACCAGGTGAGTATTCTGGCCCCTAGAGAAAAATGAGCAGTTAACCCTTGCAGTGGGGTTGGTAGCCAGGGTTAACTTGTTACATTCCTGGAGTTCTTCTTTAAACAAGAATTGATTTGTGGTTAAATTCCACTGTGGTTTACTGGAAAGGGAACAACTGGCAGCGAGCAGTTAAATAGTTTGAATCTAAAGCCAAAACATTTTTTAATTGGATAAAGTAGGAAATAGAACATCTTTTAAGGTTTTTTTTTTTGCTGCGTGGAGATTTCCCGGGAACAAGAGGAAGGGAGAAGAATTCCCCGCATTGGTTATTTCCTTCCAAATCTTGCTTGATAACGGTCACATTTTGGATTTCCTATTGTCCCAGTGATAATGGTCACCAGGGTAAATATAGAGAGTGAATCTCCCTAGTAGCCACTTATGCAGAAAAAAAAAAATCTGAAAGGGGTTTTAACACTTCCTAACAATATGTAAAGCTACAAAACAGTAATTTTTTTGGATAAATCTTTGAAATAACTGAATAAAAAAAACATTTATTGCTTTCATTGAAAAGTGTGTTGGTCTGGTTACAGCATTTTTTTTTTTGTGCATTTGCTGCCTTATTTTTATTTTCGGTATGGGTCTGTTATTTTGAGAGTGTGGGAAGGATTTAGTAAGTGCGCTGGAAGTTGTCTTTGATGTTTTTACAGTATGTTTCCACATCTACAAATCACTTGCTATTTTTCTGGTATTTGATTTCACGACACAACAGTGTTGACAAACCACGCAAAGAACATACTTTTGTCAGCCGCTTTATTTAGATATAGCCAAAGTGTCAGGATTAAATGATGATGTCCCTCTGAAACCAAAACCATTTTCATGTTCTTCTGGTTTACATTTTATTCAGGTGTTTTCGCTGGAATGGTCACACTGTTCTGTCAGGAAATGACAGCGGTGAATTGCTTGTCTGGGATCTTGTAGGAGGACGGATTCTGGAAAGAATAGCTGGGCATGCAGGTACTTTATCATCTCTTTGAAATGCTACTTAGTGATATGGATGGTAAAGTAATGTGGAAGGGTGGGGGGCACGGGGCAAGACAGCCTAGCATTGTATAGTGACCGCAGCTACATTATTTAGAGAAGAACTTGGCAAATAAAATCTTAACCCTTGCAGTGCTGGGGTAACCCCTCTAAGTGGTGTTTTGTCTACTATACTAAACATGAGATTGTAGTCCATCATGGGAGCGAGCTTGGTGTGGTTGTGTCTTTACAACACCCATGGGGAACAAAAGTAGCCACCCTCCAGAAGGAAGGACAGCGTCAGCACCGATTCAGAGATGATTTGAGGATCTACAGCTGAGTGATGCACAAATAAGATACATTTTTGATAATAGTTTGGGTGCTTTGAATATATTTTTAATGTTTAACGCCTGAGTTTAGTGTCACTTTACTGCAGGGTAAGCTACTTAGATGCTTTATTGCTTTAGACTTTTATCTTACCGATTCGTTATATAAAATAGTCATAAAACTATTGAACAGCCTCATTTTTCCCTTTTTTATGAATCCAGTTTTAATTTTGTTCTTCAGATGCAATTACGTGTATGTGGATGAATGAGCCATGCAACACCATCATCACAGGATCTGCAGACAGGCAGCTTTTATTCTGGAAACTGCAATACTGAGTTTTTTTTATTTTCCTCTTTCGCCTGCTGAAAACTTGAAGACTTTTAGATTTCTTTTATGTACAATGTTTTGTGGTGCCTGGATGTACAGTAATAGTGCTTAGAGGACTGTGCCTTGACAATTCCAACCTCCTACCTTGCCCTTTTTTTTTTCATATCTGTTCTGTGGTTTGTATTGTGCAAATGCCTTTTTGTTTCTGACCTTGCACTATGTATTTTATATTAATTGTGTGGCCTATGTCATGCTTGGGGGACGTCTCTCAGTAGCTGGTGAGGGAGGAGTGTTAAAATGAGGAAATACACTGCCTGGCCAAAAAAAAAAAAGTCACACACTCTAACATTTGTTGGAGCGCCTTTAGCTTTGATTACGTCACGCATTCACTGTGGCATCGTTTCCATACGCTTATGCAATGTCACAACATTTATTTCCATCCAGAGTTGGATTCATTTTTAAACAAGATCTTGTACTGATGATGGGAGAGTCGGACCTCTGCGTAAAGTCTTCTATAGCACATCCTAAAGATTCTCAATGTGATTAAGGTCAGGACTCCCTGAACCACTCAATTTGAGCCTGATGAATCCTGACATTGCCATCTTGGTATATGCCCAATGTGCTATCAGGGAAGAAAATATCCATTGATGGAAAAACCTGGTCATTCAGTATATTCAGGTCGGCAGCTGACCTCCATTTTTTTGGGACATAATGTTGCTGAACTATTATCCATTGGAAGGCTCCAACCTATTTGATTATCTAAATCCAGATGGTGACCTTTTTTGGGCCGGGGCAGTGTATCTGTGTTATTTTCATGTATCTAAAACTACAGTGTAATATTTTACATAAATCATGAGGAAATTAAAATAGGTATTTTCTGTTATAATGCCCTCTTCACTAATGATGGCCATACACATGTCAGTCAGTTACAACCAGTTTTTATTCACAAAAATACTGAATAAAAGAGGGAATCTGTTTTGAGCACAGGAAGTGATGGTGGTAGCGTGCCCTGAGATATTCAGTCTTCTCTGCAATCCACATTCTGGTTGAAAATGGACAAAACTGCCACAAACTGCAATATGTATGGCCAGCTTAGGCTGGGCACACACCTTACAACCATCGCAAGACTTTTTTTTGGTTCGAAGGTACTTAAAAAACGTACGATCTGCCTATCTTGCATAGGCAGATCGTACTTGCGATGAGCGCAAGCCACGCCCTGAGGAGCGGGCTTCCGATGACCGCAATGCCGAACGGGCAGTGCGCGCTTGCGCACACCGGCCAGTACGGCTTTTATCGTACGAACATGCCACAAACCCGCCGGACATCGTACGATGCTCGGCGTGTTTTCGAACATGCCCGTAAGTTAAAAGTCGTGCAACCTTACAGTAGTAGAGGTCGCACGGCTTCCACACACCTTACGATAATCGTACGATCGCGGGATTTCCCGTGATTGTCGTAAGGTGTGTGGGGACCTTTTAGGTTAGCGAGAGTGGAAATTTAGACACCTTTTAGGACAATCTTTAAAGCTGTATTTCAAATGCAAATCAATCATTTTAGCAACTTGGATCTTGGGAGCCTATTAACTCTTGCCTGTTTTCATGCATCTTACTGCATGAAAATGCATTTCAAGTAGAAATCCCATTCTTTCCTATGTGCAGGTTCACATCGTGTGCTGCAGTTTAGTGTGTTTTAAAAGGGAAACCTGTGTGTGTGCATTATTATGTGTGTTGCATGTACACAGAACAGTGTCTTTGCCCTTAAAGAACAACACCAGGAAATGTTCTGATGAACCCTTGCAGTGGGGCTACCCCTGAACTGCAAGGGTTAACTGCTCGTTTGTGTCTAGGTTAAAAAAACAAAACAGACTCCCCGGAAGCTCCCACCCAGCTTCTTTTTAGCCCAGTTCTTTTAACGTCTCTCCCTCCTCTGCAGTGGTCTAATGTCCTGTAAATCATCACGTCTATACATAGTGTATAGCTTCGGGTGAGTATATCTTTGTTATTTTAGCACCTAGGCACAAATGAGCACTTAACCCTTGCAGGGTGTGGGTAGCCCCACTGCAAGGGTTGATAAAAAAAAAAAAAATTTGCTGGAGTTCTTCAAGTTCAACAAAGCCCTAAGCTGAGTATCTACATGGAAGCCAGTGCAAAGCAGAGCACTATGGTTTTGGTGCTTTATAATTGAGAATGTGACAGAGATGTCTGTGTGTCTGCACATAAGGTGACCATATGCAGTAGTTCTCGTTTTTGGCTTTTTTTTGCAGTTGACTCGGCCTTCCAGACAATCCCAGGCACTTTCCTTTCACAACCAGGATTATTTTGTACCTTTTTATATTGCAGTTGGCTACAAAGTATTTAATCATGTTTCAGCCTATTTAGAGTCAAGGGCAGAGGGAGGGACTGCTTTGTCAGGTATTGACTATTGCTGATCTATGAATATATGATTGGCAGTCCCCTCACTGTGACTGCCTTGGTACAGCAAGTGTACAGTGCATGTGCACACTTCCACAAATGCTTTCAAGTCTGTTTAGCACATCCATGACTGCATCTGTGGGTTCAATAAAAATAGGTAAATTACCAAAGTAGATCTACTTTCTGGTAGGAGAAGGCTTCACAAGATGTAGACCCAGGGCCAGATTTACCATTAGGCAGAGGAGGCATGTGCCTACAGGCACCCTCCATAGAGGGGCGCCGCCGTGCAGGTACCTATTTCCCGGTGTTGTGTCACGATACAATACCGGCAAAAGCAAGGCGGGTGTATTCTGCACAAAAGGTACCCCCCGCTCCAAGACCAGCGGTGCCTACAGGAGCTGCTGGCTTCCACAAATGCAGGGGAAGGACCCTGGCGCTGCGTAAGGCTGCCCTGTAAAACGCCTGTCTAAAGCGGACAGGCGTTTAAGGCAGCCTTACACGACGCCGGGTCCTTCTCTGCATATGTGAAAGCCGCAGGGTCCCGCAGCAGGCAAGGGCTCTGGCTAAACAGATTTCCATATGTGAGCTGTATGTATTCACCAATACTGTTCTTGTTTGAAAGATACAGCTGCACATGTGGATTAAACTTTGAGTTGTTCCATCCACAACAGGCCTAAAATAATTCTTCTTTTGCCATCAGTCATCCTTCAATGTTATTGTTTATTTGGCAGTGTGTAGCTGGTTCTTCTTTTTCCAGGAAGTTTCTATACTATGACCATTAATATTACTGGAGAAGTATTCTATAACCAAGTTAGATATATATGATGTGTTTTAAAAGATTATCATCTTGTAAGTATTGCATCAAGCTGTGTACCAGATGATTGCATGTGGCCTGCACCGTAGTGTGTTTTTGTTTACCAAGAATTAATTTTTATAACCGTATTGGCTGTTATGAAATAACTCACACTAGTAACCATATAGGCCCTCTTCTGTTACTCAGCATAGTAGGGTGTTCTTAAAGCCCAATCAAAATGAAAGAAATAGATATTTTGACCGCCCAAATTTCTGTTATATCAGCTGTACAATGTTTAAATATGACTGTGCAGTCCAGTAGGCACCAGAGTTTACTCACACTGCCCAGTGCGCTCTGTAATCTAATAGATAAGCTTAGATTTGCATACCTTTCATGACAGCATTATAAGCTTGTCATGAGGGCTGGGGCTAGTACTCGTACCTTTTCACTATTAGTAGAAATGTGAATGCATTTTCAGTTAAAACCCCTCAAAGGTCATAACATACGGCAGCACAGAACTATAAAGAGAGAAAAATCTGCAACTGGCCTCGTACTGGGCATAGTAAACAAACCTCTTCCTGGCAATCGTGGGCAAAAAAAAAAAATGTATAATTTTGATGCAGACATAAAAGGGTTGATTTACTCAACAAGGCAAAGGCTGTGCACTTTGTAGGGGAAGTTTCCCCTTAGCTTAGGGAATGAGGTGACATTTCCATGCATGTGATTGGGTAATCCTTTTAAAGAGAAATTTCACCACATTCACTAAGCAAAAGGGAAACTTCCCCTGCCTAGTGCAAATTCCCTTGCAAAGTGAACAGCCTATTTGCCTTTACTAAATCAATAAATTAAAGTCATGCCAAATTTAAAACAAATCTTTGTGACCCATGTGTACTGCAAGTTCTACCCCTTGGATTTCCTGACAAAAAGTTCATGTCCTGTTAAATTTTAATGGCTTGAAGACACACCTATACTGAACAAGAATGTGCTCTTTCTGATCCATTTTAACGAATGAACAAGTTAGTGCTCATTGGTTGTATACTTAAAAAGCACACTTTTGCTTGGCTTCATAGAGAAAGATGTGGCAAATATGACGTATAAACATTGTCTGACAAAGGTCAGTCTCAGACAGCACAAACGGGTGCTGTTGCAAGCGTGACAACACCTAATCATATCTGCTCACCACACAAACCAGATGCAGACTGCTTCATTTTAGACTGTGTTGTAAAAAAGAAAAGAGAAGACAGAGGTGTAATTGATCAAATCAATCATATACAGTATTTCATAGCTGCACTACACATGCATGGCAGATGAAGGGAAAATGCACTGGCAAATATCATTAGGAAAGCCTTGTGTATATATATATATATTTTAAAGGAGAACTACGAGGTGAGTGCTTTCCACTCATGTCATAGTTCTAGCCGACCTGTGACAATGAGACTGTCACAGGTCGGCTCAGTAGATGGGGAGGTGAGCGAACACATACCGGCGTTCGCTCACCTCTCGATCCTGTCACAGCTGGATTCCCCGCTCCGCCAGCGCTGACTGGTGGAAAGGACGGGGCGGGTACAGCTGGCTCTGCCTCTAGATAGGCAGAGCCAGCTGTCAGTCACGCAGCTGGGTGGATCCCAGCATAATTGTCGGGATCCGCTTCAGCGTCTCAGTATACTGCGAGCTACAGCTCGCGGTATACTCAGCCTAGGGTGACGGGAGGATGCTAGTTTGTGTCCTCCCGTTACCCTAAGGAGAACTATGGGGAAAAGCCTTAACCCCATAGTACTGATCCGTTTTAAATTTGGACTTTCCCCTAAAACCATCCTTGGAATTTGAAGTTTCAGTGAATGCCTTACAGAGCGTTGACTACGCCAGTGAAATAAAATAAACTCTAGAAATAGCTGCAATACATGCGCTTGTCTTTATATGAAAAATATTAGCTAAGAAAATTGAAAAAAGGTGCCAAGTAAATGAGACTAGACTTTAAAACCCAATTTATTTGGAAGGATTCTGCAGGCAAGGTTGATTTATATTTACAAGTCCTAAATATTATCGCTGATGGGTCCACATTGAACCAGAAAGAATCCATGTGCCACATTCCCTTATTAGTGTTCCCCTAATCTTCCATCAAGTCCCAGCAGGAGTGTATGTATTGCAGATAACCTCATGTACACACAGCTGGAGTAACCAGCTTCCCTGGCAATGATGTTTAGTTGACCACACATATTGAAGTATTGGTGAGAATCACGAGAGCTTCAGGAAACATTCTTACACCACTGATACGTGTATATCTTTAGCGGTAAGCTGTAATGTGCAATATTTCAGCTCTTGTAGAGCAACCTATGTATCCCATATCAACTCACAATAAAAATGAACTAAAAGATGTTTTTAAAATGGATTTCTGTATTTTGTTTGATGCACAGTTTGTTCACCTCCTAAATTTATACAGAAAGAAAAAGCTTAAAGAAAAAGTCATACATTGTTTCCATAGTTAAAATGAATATATTACCGTTTAAACATTTTAGATGTATACAAGAGTGAGATCAATCACCTTAATGGAATAATCATTGTTTCAGCCCAATTCACAAAGTTTACACACCAGGATGAGGATCCTTTATTTCCAAATAGTGACAGGTATTTTTAGCCAGTCCAATGAGGTTTGAAAATTACAATCAGGTGGCTAAAATAAAGATCCTCATGTTAAAGCTTAGTGAACTGAGCCCATTGTGTGATAAGTGGACTGTCACTATGAATTATGCATTTACATATTTTTCTTCAATCTCTGACAAAATACTTAGACGCATTAGTGGACAGAATTCCTTTTGTAGCAGCACAGCCTGCAGTCTCCGGGCGTTGTTTTTACATCCTGATCCAACAGGCTGCATCTGACCACCACTAAAGGGTGCAGCATGACAGCATACCTGCTTGCATTGAACTAAACACAGGCAATAGACTGCAGTGGCCTTGTTATCACAAAAGGTAACCCTTTCTATTGGGCTTCTCTCATTGAATGCAAGGGCACGTAGAAATTCATAATTCACAGGGCACATGTCATTATACTTTAAAACTTGCGTTAGTAAACAGTTTGGAATTATAAATGTTCATAGTGGAAGCCTTATTTGACTTACAAATGCAGGCTGCACTCCCTGCATAGTGCCGATGACGTTAATTGTGCCTTACTGTTCCTCTTTTCTAATGCAAATCTATTAGTATAAAGACAACAGACTCTTGACATGGCGAATTGATTTTAACTGCACCGGTCTTGAACAGGGACAACTGCCACATCTCATGAAATATAAAAACAGCCACTAGAGAGAATCTACAAATTTGTTTATAAAATACAAGTCATCACAATGTGAAACAGCAAGCATGTGAAATGGGGGGAAAAAGTCAAATATATCACAATGAAAAATGTGAGTTCACTGAAAATAAACTATAGTATCCATTTGAAGAAGTCTACTGACTGTGTGAGCTGGCCATCAAGTTCACAAAATTCTAAAGAGATTTTAAAAAAAGTGTGAATGCGTAGATAGGTAAGTGGAGGGACGGTATGAGGGCCAATTCACACCAACCGCTGTTCTAACGCTTATTGAAATATCAGAAGTGATATTTCATTGTTCTACAGGTACAGCGGTGTGTGAGGCGGTTGTTTCACATTGCATCTTGCTGCGCTGGAAAAAATTACAGAATGCCGTCCTTATTTTCAGTGCAAACCACTGTGTTCCCATCATAAGGCAAACTGTCATGTCTTGCGTTGGGACTGCACTGGAAACAACGGCCCAGGGAGCCCCCAACATATCTGGTGTGAATAGGCCCTGACTGTCGTACAGCTGTGAAGTATAAACCCCAAAATTGTTCCAGCCACTGAATTCAGCTTTGCTTCCCTTGGATGTCTGTCAGGGATTTCCATACAACATTAGGGCCTGTTCACACGACGTCCGTTTTCTGTGCTGACCTGATCCGTACGCTCCTGCACTAAAAATGTATCCCGATGTGTTTTATGGGCTACAGTTCTCACGTGCGCAGTTCGTTCAGGTTACGACAGAAAAAATACTGCATGTCACATTTTGTACGGTCAGGAAACGCAAAACGCGTCAAAAACGCACTGTAGCTAACATACTGACAGCCCCACTTCAGCAAAAAAAACTTTTTTTTAACTGGAACGCATCAAAAACGCGGCAAAACACATAGCACCACGTCTGCAGATCCGGACCTGAAACTCATGTGAACAGGCCCTAAGGGTCCTACCCAAAGCATATGGGAATTCCAGTGCAGAACGTTGTGGCTGAAGAGCTTTCATCTCAGTTTTCTAATACAGCTAATCTCTGGCTTGGAGGAGAAGATGCGTCATATCAAACCTTTCCAAGCACAGGTTGTGAAAACAAGCAAGTTCTGTCAATGCATTTCTGAGTGCTCCGGGTATGTGCTTTTCATTACCAATGCTGGTTTCCAAAACATTTGAATGTGAGGTTGCTTAAGTCACATTGTTCTGGGATCTACAGCTCTAGATTTTATGGAGAACACAGCAATACATACTAGGACACGAGGTCCGGTAATGTCACATTTGTGGACTAATAACCTGGACCACATAATGGCTGCTCACACTGTGTGGGGGTAGCAGATGCCCATTTGTCACTCACTTAGCGCTACAACATAACATGCATGCCACACTTTATATACTGACCTAACAATTGTGCATACTTTCATATAGCAGATGCAGAACTTTAGAAATGTATTGTATGCTTCACCTGAGCAGCTGCAATCCATGACCAGAAAAGCATTGCATTATTTCAGTACGTATAACACTAGACCAGCAGCATCACATTCTGTGCTGCGAGCATGTAAAAGGATAACTACATCCATGAAAGGTGATGTTCTTTTAATATGAAAAATCATACAAAATGTTTGCACAAAACTCAGAATGGCAGTGTTTAAAGCAGATGGTCCCAAAACACTGACTTGTGAGTATCATATGGCTCTTAGACATAGCGAGAAGGTTCATTGTTGGTGACGGACACCCACTGCAATGCCCATGCAAGTACAATGCCAAGCAGCATCATTCACACCCTAGATGCAGCCAGGCCATTCTTCAGTGGCTGTGTCCTGCCCTACAGCTGTGTAATGTTAGTGTCTGTGGAGTTCCAGCATTCTTTAAGACATGCATGACTCAGGAGAGAAGAATAACTGTACCAGGTGCATGGAACCCCTATGGCTGTGCTTGGTACATACAAAGCCTGGAAACACACCAGATTTCAGCAGATAAAAACCCTGTCCAGCCCCTAAAAGACCAGGAACAGAGCAATGATCCATTGGTGTACTACTAAGACAGACAGGTTTAGCTTTTCTTTAACAAACCAACTTTGACATCGTTATATTTGACCAGGTAGTCTGAGGGCTGTATTTTTATGTGATGTAGTTCTGCTTATTGCACTTGACTATGGCTCTGAAGCTAGCCAAAGTTGGGGCCCCTACCTGCAACAGACTTGTAGCATTTCTTCATTCTGTGCAATACAGGGAGCTGTATATTTAAGCCACAGCTGTATTTATTCCTCTGCACAATTTCTGGGTTGTGTCTTCAACTTCAGAATAGAAATCCTTATTAGACTGATAAATACCGATATATGGGGGTCATTTTGGTAAGCTGCATTAATTTTGGTGAACAGAAGCAATGGACCGATTTTTACATTTGGTTTCAACCCAAGTCATATAGATTCCCGTCTGTGATCTTTATATAATTGCCCGATCTGTACTAGAATTCCACCCGCTTCTGTCCGTAACCTGTCTAAAAGGTGCCCATTCACTGTGCGATTATGGCATGAAAATCGCGGGAAATCACCTGAACGTACAATAAATCGTGAAGGGAAGGCGTGCGACCGTTTTTACTGTACGGTCGCACGTCTTTTGCCTAAGGAGCATGTTCGAAAACCAGCCAAAAATATTATGATTTTCGGCTGGTTTGTGGCATGCTCGGGAGACAAATGCCGAACGGGCCGGTGTGCGCACGCGCACACTGCCCGTTCAGCATTGCGGTCATCGGAAGCCCGCCCCTCCGTGGGGCGGGCTTGCGATGATTGCAAGTATGATCTGCTTGTCCAAGATAGGCAGATCGTACGTTTTTTAAATTACTTTACAACCATCGCAAGACTAAGGTCTTGCGATGGTTGTAAAGTGTATAGCCACCACAACCCAAAGCCATGAAATGTATTTACTCATGTAATAAAGACCAACATGAGAGCAAGGCTGTATTACAAAATGCACCAATAGAAAGAAAGACAATGGTGTGCTCTGCAGACAGACTTGTTATGCTACATACAATTAATGTTTTGTGGGTTAGAGATCCTTTGAACCTACCAGGTTATTGTCTGACTGTTAAAATAAAAAATTCATCAACCCTCCAGGAGGCACTTCAGAGGTTATTGCTATACAAAACTTGCTCCTATTTGACATGATTATACGATATAGACAAATCTAAAGTGTCAGAATGAGCTACTCCCAACGTTTTTCTTGCCTAGTATAGAATATACAACCTTGCATATACTTTAAAATGTAGCTTTGTTTCCCTGCTATACAGATTTAAAACAAGGTGCTAGTACAGCCAGAAAAAACAGAGCAAAGTATCTACTACACTGCAGTGTACTAGACTTGCTCCAACAGCAATAACCACTCACTTGGGCACGGATGTGTCCATGAAGCTTGTTAGATAGCAAAAGCATTGACAGAAGAATAAGAGTAATTGCCATCATCCAAATGCATTTGCATTACAAAGGTCAACTCAGCTCTGATCTCCTCATCTCACTGCCTCCAGCCAAAAGTTGTTACTCTGGACATGTATAGGAGGTCAAATAATGGCACGATGCCCTGTGCCAAGTGATTTTAAATCCTCCCATCTTACTTTCATGGATATAGTTTTCCTATATATAGAAAATTACATTGTACTATTTGTGTTATCGCTTTAATAATCTGTAGTATAAATACCATATATAAAGCAAAATGGCATGCAACTTAAACAAGATTCATACATAGGAAAATAGCTCTTACATAGAATAGAAAAATTACAGCATTTTATCAGATACAGTTACATGTAAGAATAGTGCATTTCTTTACTAAAATCAGAATGGCAGACAGCTAGAATCAGCTGGCGGTACATTTCAGCTTTGTGTATCTGGACAGTAATGAGAATATATCATTTGACTCATCATTCGGCTTGTACAGCACAAGGTATGACAGCTTGTAAACAGATAGATGATTAAATGAAAGTTGCACAGCTCTCTACCTAGTAAAGGTTTGTTAACATATACTGTACAGAATCAGATGCAACAGGTTTTGCTGTGGTATACAATGCCGGGGTTAACATGCAGTAGTAAGAATCCTGCTCTTAAAGAAGATGCCCTGCTGTCTGCTTATTGTATAATAAGTCCTAGCTCAGCCGAGGATCTAGATCAGGGCGGAGGGGGCATGTTACACCTCAGGAACAGAGTGATCCATTAGGCTCTTCATGACACTCGAAGCCATTCTGTTGGAAGAAATGTACATACAAGTTAATAAATATTTGCAGCAATTTAGCATCTCGCCTAAGGCGAAGAAAGGTATATTTTTAGGAGAGGGGTTTTGGTTCCATTTTGCCCACTTCATCATATCCCATTTCTGTTAGAAACGGGTACAGCTACATATGCTCATTGCACACATACTGTTTTAGCATGGTTGGAGGAATACATTGTTTTCCTCTTGTTAAGCTGCGGGCTGAACAAGAGAAATCTATCCATGTATGGCTAGTATAATGAAAGATAACACAAAAAAGAGGGCAATAACAAATGTTTCATAACAATGCTGGGGTGTTATCTTTCATATACATATATACACACATATATACACACACACACACACACCTCTCTATCTAGATAGATAGAGATATCTATTAGAGAACGAACACACATCTTTATAAGCTTTTACCACTCATTTGTTTAGTGGTCACAGTGATTGAAGGCCCTAGGATCATTGCTCTCACTCATTGTTCATGGTGATATGCAACGTATGGCACAATCGTCATTTACACATGTGGGTGCACCCTACGGGTGTTTGGATTTGTATACGCGTGTACGTGGGGCAGGGGACTTTAATAAGTGTTTTTTTTAGTGTTCATTTTTTCTTTAAATGCGACTTAAATTTGCAACATTTTTACACTTAACTTTATTGCTATCAAATAGATGGCTAACAAGCCCCCTGTGTGATAGCATAAATACAGTGACAGGCCATCTTTATGGAGACATCAGGGGTCCCCAATGTCATCTATGGACCCCTAAAGAAGCGATCTGCTTTACCATATTCTTCTCCGGCTACAGCAGCAGGAGAAATTAAAGAGCGACACTGGAAGTCATGTAATACACATCACCTTCAGGTCCAGTGATCGGAGATCAGGCGCTGGAAGTGTGCTCATCTCACTCCAATCTAAGAGTACCGACCCACTGTGCCGGTCCTGGGCTAAAACTAGGGACAGTGCAGCCCGGGATAGGACGGCAGACAGGGAGAGGAGCACATTCCCGCGCAGCATACAAGTTATATAGCAGCCCGAATGCTTGCATGTAAAAACACCCATCAACAGTTGTTTTAAACGCCCACCTGCTGCATCCCCCATCCAGCTGTTTTTTTTTTACAATCAGATGGATGGCAAGGGGTTAAAAAGCAAGACTCCCGATGTATGACAGCAGCTCCCTGTATCTAATCCGAGTGTTTGCTGAACATGACTCACTTATCGGTGCAGCCATTTCCTGAAAAAGCAATAGTGTGCTGACAGGAAGACGTTTCACTCACCTCTTCACCATGTGCTCAAAAATGTAGGATGGCATTACAGTGAGGGTAACCACATTAGCAGAAGTTGACAGGCTTTCTGCAACCTGGGAATCCTGTTCAAACACAGAAATACCAACAATTTTAGAATTCAAGCAGGAAACAATAAAATATGTAAAATATCTGGTTCAGCACCAAAAAAAAACCTCTGAGCTGCATTCCCCCAGTTAAGAACATAGTACTGCTAAACTGATTTGAAAGTACAAATAAATAAGAAGAAAAAAAAAATGTGTGCGGTGCATCGCAGATGTAAAGTTCTGGCTCCTGCACACAGACCCTTCCGGCCAGCCATTCTGTACCAGAGGAAGTCTGAATGGACTACAAGTGCAGTGATATCACCACACTTGTACTCCATTGAGAGCGGAGTACAAGTAGTCTCTTCAAAAGAGAAAGCATGTGGTCACCAGCACACCGGAAAATTTGGTCAGATAAACGTCGTCTTTATTGTCTCATAGATAACAATGTTTGTTCTTACAAGCATCTTACATGTGTCAATAAAGACGACGTTCATCTGACCAAATTTTCCGGTGTGCTGGCGACATTCTGCTTTATCATTGGTACTTCTTGCATCCACAGAAGCCATTGCAGCACCCACTTTACAGGGGGCTTCTGGTAAGGGGTGCAGTGGAATACCCATTGCATCGTAGTCTCTTTAATTCACATATGCCGTTCAAGGATCAAATTCAAATAACAGGAGCCTGTGGGAGAAGAACCAGTGATTTTGTTAAAGGAGAACTATGGGGTCAGTGTTATCTAGAGGCAGAGCCAGCTGTACCCGCCCCCTCCCCCGTCCGTTCCGCCAGTCAGCGCTGGCAGATCGGAGTGGGGAATCCAGCCCTCCCCTTGTCACGGCAGAGAGCTGTGACAGGATCGAGAGGTGAGCGAACCTGGTATGTGTTCGCTCACCTGGTATGTGTTCGCTCACCTGGTATGTGTTCGCTCACCTCCCGATCTACTAAGCCGACCTGTGACAGTCTCATTGTCACAGGTCGGCTAGAACTATGAGGTGAGTGGAAATCACTCATCTCATAGTTCTCCTTTAAGTGAGGGGGCAGGATGGAGGCAGGGGGTTGTTGATGTGACAACATTTCATGTTACACCCTGAATATAGATGACACTGTATGAGGGTGGAGGCTTTAAGCAAGATGCTACCATTTCAACATGTGAGCTGACCTACTCAGGGCAGAGAGTTATCACATGAATCTACACGATCCTAGTAAAGCCTTTAGCACTTACAAGACAGCAGACTGCGTTGAAGCTTCAATTATAATTTGTAACAAGGCTAGAATCACAGAAACATTCACATATAACCTGCCCTGAAACATATAATGGTTATTCATCCTACCTTTAGAAATATTACATCACCACACACATTTACAGAAGCAAACTTGAAAAACAGATGCAGGACTTCATTTAACTAAATGCATTGAGTCCAGTTCATAACATCATGCAATGTACCTTTAATCCAATGACATTCTGCCCATTAATTTCACAAAGGTTGTGATCTGTGAGAAGTCCATTCCTTGCAGCGGAGCTGTCTTTGACAATGGAAGTTATTCTGCCATTTTTGAAAACAAACCCAACATGGCCATTGCTGTCTTTGTGCATTGTGATAGCGCGTTCAAATGGTCTACAAAAAGAAATACGATATGTTTAATTACAAAAGTCTGCCAATAGTATCCTATATTCTCCTGAACACCGTATGCGTGTTAATTATCAAGTGAAAATCATTAAATGTAGGTTTATATTTTACAAAGTACAAAAAACTATTTGCAGATACTTCATATCGGGATATAATTACTGTAAATATTTGAAATTAAACACAAATATTACAGACCAAAAAGAGAGAGAATGAGAAAAAGTGAAAAACAAAAAATGAGAATCTGCATGGCAGAACCCAGAGCTGCCCCTTGATTGTGGGCCCACTGGTAGTGCACACCAAAAACGGCTCAAAAAAAACCTTATTACATACAGATTATCATTTTTTTGTTTCTTTCCCTTTTTGGTCTGTAATATTTTTGTTAATTTTCCCGTACACTCTTTACATTTCCCACATGTACCCCACGTCATCTCAGGTTGTATTTTGCTTTCATACACTGCAACAGTGACAAACCATACACCACAGTATACTTATTTCCTGTCCACAATACATTACATAATGTTTATTTGACTATATTTACTGTTGCCATGAGCACCAACACTTGTTCCAGATTGGGTTATGATGTTGCTTTTATTGCCTTTGTATTAGATAAGAGCCTGTTATGACATCCTTATGGTCTTCTATGCTTATTCCATTACATTTTTAATGCATTATTCGGTTTTTAGCCTTAATATTTTGACCGCTGTGGTTGTCAAGGAACGCTTAGGGGAACTTTTCCCACCGCTAGAGCCGGAGACCACGGTCCTCTGTCCCGTTCCGCGCACGCCCTGGGTGAAAGAGGCCGTGACTTGAGAGCACACTTCTGCTGCCACTGGTTAACAGGAAAGGCCCTGCGTTCCACACGGCGCTCTCGCTGGTGAACGGGCGGGAGAGCCAGCGTCTTGTTGTCAAAAGCCGGACAAAGCGCGCTGGTTACTATTTAAACCAGCGCGTGCTGTGACTTGTCCGGCACCCTCTCGTCACAGACGAGAGGACGAGTTAATTTTCAAGCCCTGATGATGGCTCTAGAATTATTGTCTTCGTTCTGGCGTGCGTGGCAATATCCAAATACATGTGGTGCAATAGTTTCCAGACACGTACACACCTAATGCACGAGTTTGTATATGCATGAGGGTGGGGCTTAAAGAAAGTTGGCACGTTTTATTTTAACTTTGCATAGAAGGAAGATGCTTCCAGCACTCTTAACATTTTTTTATGTTTTGGGGCCACATATTGTCCCTTCACCAGGGCGTCATAGTGACTATGTCGTCCTGATGAAGGAACCCTGCGTGGCCCCGAAATGTTGGCTATTGGATATATATGTGACGCTCTTTCACAATACATGTATACAAGGATTTGACAAAATCTTCTGAGTGCTGGTCATCTTCCTTCAAGTTTGAAGGAAGATGACCAGCAAGTTTGATGTGCGCGGCGCCATCCGTGATCATCACTGTGAGCACCACTTTTAAAATAAGAGGTTGTGAACGCTGTAAGGAGTGCAGGGGACACATCTGTACACCATGTTATTTTAACTTTGCTTTCACTTTATTGCCATCACAAGGGAGCCGACAAGCCCTCTATGAAATAGCATTGTGCAGGCGACAGGTTCTCTTAGAAAAAATAAGGGATTCATGACATACCCAATGTCACCTCCTACACTTTTTTTTAACCAGTTGACATCCGCGGTGTTAAACCCCCTTCCCATCCAGGCCATTTTTCAGTATTCAGCGCTGCGGTACTTTGACTGACATTTATTCCGTCATGCAGCGCTGTACTGAAATGAAGTTTATACCCTTTTTTGGGGACAGATAGAGCTTTCTTTTGGTGGTATTTATTCACCACTGGGGGGTTTTATTTTTTTACTATATTAAAAGGAGAAATGACCGAAATGTAAAAAAAAAAGTTTCCCCTATATTAATTGATAAAACATTTATTATTACCCAATTTTTTGGTAAAATATAAAAGACGGGGTCACGTCGGGTAAAAAGACACCAAACATGTCAAGCCTTAAAATTGCATGCGCGAAACCTCAAAAAACAATAATACCCAAAATTGGCCATAGGCGACGCTTTAAAAGCTGTTACCGCTCATCAGTTTAGTGTTATCAGTGATCGATAGCCCTAAAATGATTGCTCTCACTGTGACGTTCGCGGCGATATGCAACATGTGTAGCGCAATTGTAACTTTTGCGCGCTGGGGCACCGGACGCGTATTTACGTTTATAGGCGCGTAAATGTGGGGGTGTTAAACATTTTGGTGTTTTTTTCCCCCTTTTTTATATGTGACTTTTATTTTATTTTACTTTTTTATGTTTCTCTTTTTTTTTTTTTATTTTTATTTTTTTTCTCTTATTGTTATTGCTATTATATCCCCCTTTTTTATATGTGACTTTTATTTTATTTTACTTTTTTATGTTACTTTTTTTTTTAATTTATATTTATTTTTTTGCACTTATTGTTATTGCTATTATATAGGGGGATAACAATCCCTCTATATAATAGCAAAGGCACACTGACAGGTCCTCTTTATGCAGACATTAGGGACGCGGACGAGCACATATAAACGATCGGCTGGCTATGGAGCCGCTGATCGCCTATATGTGAAACACCCGGTAACGGGTGTGTGCAATGGTCGGGTCTTTTCTGCCCGTGCGTGCCCGCCAATGCAGCAGTGCCGTCCGTCCGTTTTTTTACTATGGGCGGACGGCAAGAGGTTAAAGTGTGTTTCCACTTTTGCAGCCAAATTGGGATAATACCCATTTTATATTTGTTACATGTTCCCATTCACATAGCAAAGCTAAAAATATTTTATATAGGTTAAAATTTCTACTTGCTGCTTCTTTTATAATGTTAAGAGGGATTGCGCGGGGCGTCTCCATTGAATGTTAATGAAGTTAATGAGAGAAATACAATCCTCAAATGTCAGTCCCAAGTCTTTCCATTAGGACATATCACTATAAAGGTGCTGTGAAAAACCTGGAATCAGACAGGTTGTCTGCTGCAACAAAGCATCTAAAAGGTAAGAAATATTGTTTTAAAAATAATTTTTTGGCATGTTGTGAGTAACTCCTGAGTGCTACAACTGGGAGTCTGTTTACATGTTGGCGCCGGGCGGAAGGATTTGGTCGGCAGCAGCAAAAGGGACAAATTGACACAATAGACGCATTGGTCATCTTTGCGTTTTTTTAGGGAAAAACTAAACTGTGCAATAGACTTTAGATTTTTTATAGGGAGAAAAAAAAAATGTACTAACCTGTCTCTAATAACCATGGAAATCCTATCTCCGGAAACTTGCTTGAGGAATTTATGGGACTTGTCTGAACTCCAACCTGCACAGTTTTCACCATTGATTTGCAGAACCTGATCCCCAAACTTTAATCCAACCAAAGATGCTGGAGAATTAATCTGAACAAGTTGCACAAAAATACCCTGAAAAAGAAAAAAAAAAAACAACAATTTATTCCAGAAGAGCAGCATGTCGACACGTGTACACACACACACACACACACACACACACTAAAAATGCAGAAGTGTTAAACACAATTATGACCATCAATATTTTTCCTGTGAGTCTGCAGTGTAATGTGACAGGGGTTAGTGGAGTCACAGTGCAAGGTCTCATTCCTTGGGCAGTGACGCAGAAGACATTTTTTTTTTTTAAATCACTTAAACGTCTTCAGTGGGAAGTTAATCTGCAGCCCAAAGTCCAACCCAACCAAAATGTTGTCTGTGCCCACCCCATTCAACCTTGATAGTACAAACAACAACATAAAATGGTGTTATCCATCAAATTTTTTTTATTGGCTCAGATCTGTCCTCTTCACTAGTGACAGCAGTGGCCACACAGCCATATAAATTCACGATATAGGTCAATGTGATGCACCAGGGCACTAACTTCAAAGAAGCCAAGCATGATTTTTAAGATCTAATTTTTTTACTTATCTACGTTAGAAGCTATGCACATAGTATATACACAATAGCGTGTTTCTATCACAATTAATATTTGTGTTCCCCATGAAATGGAAGTAACTGCTCTCAAAGTCACGCTCGCATAATGCCCCTGAGATGGCCAGGCTGATGAATCCTGCGTTATGCAAAATATAACCCTCAATTTTCCCATTTCTTTCCACTACTTAAAATGACAGAAACAAGAAGTTAACTTACATTGTCAATAGATTTAAGGCGGAGACCAATTTTTCCATCCTGATCCTTACACAAGATAACTTCACGGAGTCCTTGTTTTATTTCTGCTCTACGAATCCCGAGATCACTTCCACTTACTGGAGCCACCATGTTATTTACAGCGGATGGTCTTGCTACCTGGCGCTGAAGAATTAAATGATGTACACAATTAATTAGTGTCAACTGAAAAAGAAACAGCTTGTCCTCTTTGCACATTTAGAGCTGGCAACATCAAGTCAGTGTCCCATTCATACCTACTGGGACTTTTGAAAAGAGCTAGGTGAAAGTAAACTTTAGGCCGATGCACACTAGAGATATATTGTAATCCACAAAACATTCAAGGAGGAGAGCTTTAAACCTCTTCTCATCAGGTTTTTATTGCTGTCTGTATTCCTCGACTTCCCGTGGTCACCTAGACAGGATGTTAGCAGCCACTGCTATAAAAACTAGACAAGAGTTTCTAACACTTCCCCAATCTACTGAAAACGTGATTATAAGGGCTTGTGTCAACAGGCTTTGGGCTTGTGAGTATAGGCAAATGCAGCATTCATGTGACATCGGTTTGAAATGCTTCAGAGTTCATTGACCGGTGCATTTGACCTGCAGTTGACCTAAGCTGCATCAACCTGCTTTTGTATTGTCATTGATTTGTATAGGGAGAAGAGCAATACTGACATGAATAAAAGCCCATTGACACAGACCCACAGGTTGCGTTCCCTGTAGGAGAGTTTCTTTAACTTTCTGTCCCTGTGAATACAAAGGCAGCAGCAAAAACTTGGCAGATATTCCACCCTAAAATCTGTAAATATCACAATGGTATTTCATTCATATATAAACGTTTCAGACCAGTTGGTAAATGATCCGCAAGTCTTTACCTATGGTAGAGCTAGGCTATACTAGAAATATATCAGCAGGGAGTACTTCTAGTGAAGAATCCAGTTACTCAAAGAAAGCAGACACCTCGGTTATATGCAGAACTGTGCTTTCTTTAGGCCAATATGACACGTGCCATTTGTCATAGATCATCAAATACCTGATGCTGCAAAAACCTGACAATCCACTTTGTTTTTCTTCACTTCAATTCTGTTCGAGTCTCTCTGATCATTTCTTCCCTAGATTACAACTGCTTATGCCTTTGGCGTGAGCTGCTTATACACAGCACTTTACATTCTCTGTGAAAGATATATCTTTATCACCCATTAGGAGGTGACCCTTTTAAAACAGCATTTAGTAAACTGTACAGTCACAGCAATAAAAACATAAAACAGAATGCAAACATTTAAAGTGCAACTAAAGCCAAAACTTTTTTTTAAGGCGAGGGATTTTTTTTTTTTTAAACCAGAATTTTGTTCAACCAACAGAGTTGCTTTAAAGTGCATTTCAAGTGGCCACTTTCTGCTTCGTGATCCCGATGTTGCATGATGTTTGGTAAAACACCAGCACCAAGGAAAACCTCAAAACAGGTTCCAGCAGCCTAAAGATCATTTTGAAGCTATGGAATTGCAGAAAAACAAGGAAATGGGTGTAAAAATTGGAACCATTATTGTAAAAAAAAAAAAAAAAGGAGTTTTTAAAATGCTTCACTTACCCCATCTGCAGGCACCAGAGACATATTTTTGTGGATTTCATCTTCACTCAGGCTTAAACCCATGTACTGAGAGAGTTCTGGATACAGTTTAGGATACAAACCTGACAGAGAAAACAAAAGTCTGAATCAGAGTACAGTTCTGAGGAAACATATGCAGGATTTTGAACAAGTATTACCTGCAGGGACATCCCTGCCAAAACTGCTCTCTGCTCTACCCTTTATCTTCACCTGGGAGGCAGCTAATCGTAAACAGTGACTGTTTTACCTTGGTGCGATGCGGGTTCACAAACTTAATTCGTTCTACGAGCAGGGAAGATGGCTGTGGTTTTGCTCGTCACCCGATGTGGAGTTCACGAACAGAAGCAAAATTTTGCCGAACTTCCTGTTCGCGAACCGAGGTAGCAGTCTGTGTGTCTGTGATAGATGATGGATAGATAGAAGATAGGCACACACACACACACACACACACACACACACACTTTTCTACACTATCCAAAAGTCAGCCACGTCAGTCAGGAACCACATGCTATACATTGTAAAGAAGCTCATAAATGCAGACGCTCTATGCTTACCTCCATGCTGGGATAACTGTGCTGAAGCTTCTGATAAAATTGCTGGGTTGGCTGGATTTGTTGCAAATGCAGTCTGAGCCTGAAAAGTAATGTTAAAAGAACACATTATTAAAAAGTTAGAGAAGACCAGTGGAGAGTTTCACCATCTACCTTTGACCTGGAACTGAGACTGAAAGCAAGCAAAAAAACAGAGAATTTAATTCATCAAAACTGGAGCAGAGAAAATCTGGAGCAGTTTTGCACGGCAACCAATCAGCTTCTCTTTAAATTTCAAATCTTAACGGGATCAAACTGAAGAGAGATGCCGATTGGTTGCCGTGCATAGCTGCTCCAGTTTTGATAAATCCCCCCTAGAGTTGTCACTGGAACAAGTATAGAGGGAAAAACGTTCAATTAAGCCACATGTTTTAGGTGACAACTGAGAGAAAATTGCCCAACAGAGAGATCAAAGTCTCACTTCCTGTTTCAAAACAGCAATCTCCCCCAATGGGGCACAGACAAAAATATATGAATTAGAAAGGGTGTTATGAGATTTTACCTTTTTAGTGGTTTCATTGGAGCAGGATTATACATAGGACCCTACAGGCAGCTTCTAACAGTTAAAATAGATGCCGCTGAGCTGATAAAGAACGGAGGGCCTTTTTTTTTTTTTAAATGTCATCAACAGATAATGTCTTCAGGTCTTTATCCCTTTTTGTTAGGACAACTAGTCCTCCTTATACCTACACAGTACAGACAAGGATAATATTTGAAACAAACCACCCTCAGACAGTGAGAACTAAGCAGGATTTTTCAGTCCTGGAGTTTGCAGAAACATCATCCAAAAAAAAGGTAAGCTGCAATTTTTAATTAATTTTTTTCAGTTATGATATGTGAATGGGAGCATGGAACAAATGTAAATCCCAATTTGGCTGCAAAAGTGGTAATACATTTTACATTTTCTTAATATTCAGTGAGAATGGAACACAAGCAGCAAAACAGCTTTACAAAATGTTAAAGCACTTTCAGCACACATCTTCCTGTAAGGCAGTGTGATTAATAAACCCGCCACACTGATGGAAACCCATTAAAATGAATGAGAATATATTTAAAAAAAAAAAAAACAGCCACAACACCACCCACACACCGCAACCTGCATTTTCTGAATGGACCAGCAAATGCAGGGTGCAATAAGGAGTAATGGTGCGTAGCAGTGAATCGCAACATATACACACACACACACAAAATGTGCCCCGAAGAGCTTCTCAACCCAAGTTCTCTGTAGATTGTAATCATCAGTATTTCAGCAATGATCTTCAAACAATTGTCCTAAAGCTAGCCATACACCTATAGATTTATCTGCAGATTTTCTATGGTCGGATGGAAAAAGTGCAACAGATTCCTTCATCTACGCTAAACTGTGTGGATGGCGGAATCTCGCACTGGGCCAAGCTTCAGTATCTTGCTAGTCGGCTCCGCTGGCTGCCAAGATACCTGAACAATCCGATTGGTTGCAGGCATTGTTCAGGTATTTAGAGAGCCAGCGGGGGCCGACTAGCAAGATACTGAAGCTTGGCCCAGTGAGAGATTCCTCTATCCACACAGGTTAGCGTAGCTGGAGGAATCTGTTGCACTTTTTCCATCCGACCACAGAAAATCTGCAGATGATCTACTGGTGTATGGCCAGCCATTATGACATCCCTCAAACACTAAGAACAGAGGAAAGGCCTCCCCACTCACCTTGAGCCATTTTAAAAAGGGACTCCAGAAGTGCTTTGAAGCCAATTGCAATAACACTGCACCATTCACCTCACAGATGAAAAATAAAACATGGCCAGCACCACAGAGTGTCATGTGGCTTAACCCCTTCGTGACGGGAGACGTACACTGTACGTCCCGCCACAAAGGGACCAAATGACTCGTTATGTACACTGTACGTGACAAGTTATTTGCTGCATTAGAGCGCTGGTAACCGCTGAGAATCAGTATAGAGGCATTCATTAATGAAAGGGTTAACCTTTTTCAGACACCTGATACCTTAATATCGGGTGTCGGAGAGTCAAAGCAGAGCGGGCATGCCGGCATTCTGACAGCTCGTATAGATCGAGAGATATCTCTCTCGGATGTATACTGGCTTTTTTTTTTCTTTCACTTTCAGGGATACATAATGTATATTCCTTGGTGCGATATTGCGCAAAATGCAAATCGCGCGACAAACGCGCGATTTGCGAATCGCCATGTGTGAATGGGGCCTTAGTGACAGCTGAATCCTGCACTGCTGCAGGATCAGTGTCACTAACTTATTATAGGCTGTTCTGAAGTTTGAAACAGCCTAATAATAACCAAAAATGTATTCATTTATCAAGCAGTAATAGAGAGATTAATTCACAATGACTGCTTGATATAATTAAATAAATACAAATTTAAAAGTTTTAAAAAAATAGTGAAAAGGAGTAAAGAAAAAAAAAGACAAAATGAATGTATTTATTGCATTGTTTTTTTAGCTTTACTGGTTTTGTAAAAAAATACTACAAATTAAAACTGGGAAAAAAAGTGTTTTTTTAAACGTTTTTTCCTCTTTTTTTAAATATTTTATTTGTCCTAAGTGAGGCGTTAGGGCTACATATTTATATCACATATGTATGTCTCTAAAAAACATGTCCTCTAAAAAACAATATATAATATGTGTGGGTGCACTTTGTAAGAAAGTATATTACTGACGTGGAAGAATCACACAGCAAAAATGTCAAAAGTGCGTCAGTCATTTATGAACAGAAACTAAAAACAAGCTCAGTCATGAAGGGGTTAATAAAGACATGATTTGTAAGGACTACATTCTATTTTGAATAGGGATAATAAGCAATGTCCAATCATAGTGACACTTTCTCCAGGAATCAGCTTACATGGGATAAACATTGTGGAGCTACACTGGATACATGGCATCAGAAAGATACTACAGACCTGCACCAACATTTCTAAAGCATTGCTTGAATGATTGTATACAGGACTGTTGAGCTATCAGACCGACAACCTAAATGGACACAAGGCTTTTGTAGGACATACACTGGTTAGTGTCAATCATTTACTATAAGCAGGACAACATTCTGCTGACAAGGCCAGACATTACTTATTCAAATCCATTGATCTTAAGGAATATAAAAGGGCCACAAATAATCTTCCTAATGGTTTGTGTTACTCATTCCAGTGAACCATGGGAATACAAACATTCTGTATATAAGAACACAAAAGCCATGCTGTTATTCAAATGAAGCCTTGGCGTCATTCCATTCCTCTTCCTTGTAACACAAAAATATACACAAAGGTTCCAGCCATTTATGGGCCCCAAAAAACATTAGTATTCTATGTAGCGTTTTTTGGTGTGTTACGAATACTAAATGAATTAAAAAAAAATAAAAAGTTACCAAGATGTTGAAAGAATGAACATCTGATAAGTAATTACAGAAGATCATGGCATGTTCTACACATAAGAAACGAGTGGATAAATACTCCAGACAGAGTAAGTTAAAGAAAACCTGTTCAGACAATTATAGAAGCTGCTGTGATGGACGTGTTTTTGAAGGTAGACATGTTGGGGGCATTCATCTTCTTCCACATGTTATTACCTAATGAGTCAATGATCTGAAACAAGTATGGTCATACATCAGGGCTCAACATTTCAACTCGCCTGCTCGCATTTGGCGAGTGGAATTAAGTCAGGCTTGCGGTCTCAGACCACGTACCTGGCTCGTGGGAGCAGCTGCTCCTGCTGGTCTGTCTCCCTTCCTTTTGGCTGGAGCTCTTCACTGAGCTCTGGGTCGAAAACAACGTGATTATTAAGGTCTGCAGACCTTACTAATCACACTAGATCACCAGGGATCTGCCTGCTCGCCTCCTCCAGCAGGGAGATTTAGGGTAATATTGTTAAAGTTGTTAATATTTAGGGGCGGGGTTAAGGCCGCAGGAGGGTTGGGGTTAAGTGGGCAAATGGTGGTAAGTACTTACCCAAATACTCGGAATCGGCACCGATATCGATACTAGTATCGGTATTGGTGCATCCCTAATACTTACCTCAGTTTTCTATAAAAAGATTTAGCTGCAATGCTCAGGTCCCCACAAACCTCTACAGGGCCAACAACTAATCCTGTCAGAAGGAGGATGAACTGATGCCTGATACATGCTGGGACAAGCTCTGAGGCTGAAGACCTCTAGGTCAGGGTAAATGAAGGGCAGGTTTTTCTTACTTCATCCTAATGCATAATAAAAAAAATAATAAGCGCCAGATATACCTGAATAACTTTGTCGACTTTCAAGTCCTCCAGAGATGGGTACAGAGACATTTTTCTTATTCCTGCCAAGTGGAAAAAAAACCAAGCTTTATTGTAAATAAAAACATTAACAAAAACATTACAATTATTCCAAGAACTTATTAAACAACAAACTTTACAAGAAAATCGCAGCAAATGAAAGATATCTTTAAACAAAGACAAGACAGCAATGAACCTAAAGGGAAAAAAGGTTACTATTGTGTGTCTGCTGCTGAGAGGTATTTATTATTAATACCTAAATAACTATCATTTATCCCTCAGCATTTTCTCACATCTAAATGTGGAAAAATACATACAATGAGGTGCTAAAAGACATTCATGTACAGCTAAGTCTATATGTCATGAAAGGGTTTAGGACAGGCTGAACACATTTTCATTTGTGACCTTACAAAGCAGTTAGCGCAGGTATATTGTCAGAAGAGTACAAAGGAGCCATGGCAAAAACAGAAAATCATTTCCTGCATTCTCTACACAGCTTTGGTTTTACCAATGTTCACTGACAGAGATAACCATGAATGAACAGGCCGCATGTAGTCTGCTCCCACCCCAGCTCTGTAGGCCTTGCTTCTCTCCACTGACTGCACTCTGTTTCTGCAGTCTCCTAGTATCCTGTCATTAGGTCAGGGCTTGTTCACACCAAATGCAGGCCAGATCTGCACGAGTTTCTGCACACGCAGTGCAGTTTGCAAAAAATAAAAATAAACACTTTTTTTTTAGCTTAAAATGGGGTTTCAGTGCGTTCCAGGGCGTCTGCATGTGTTTGATGCTTTTGCATTGCGTTCCAGAGCAGGTAAAATAGGGCTTGCTGTAGTTGTTTTACATGCTCTGGAACTGAACGCTGCGGTGTGAACTAGAGCCCAAAATACCATTTGAATACATTGGACGCGTTTTTGATGCGTTCTGTAACTGCTCTGCATCTGGAACGCATTTGGTGTGAACAAGCCCTTATAGTGGACGACTGCCAACCCAGGGGTGTGGAATTCGTATTGCCCGACGCCCGGAACATGTAGTAGTTCCTGGCGCCGGGCAAGTGGTTTTTTCAGCGTTTTAGCCCTGCTGCGGACAACTAGCAGGGCTGATTTCTTTTTTTTTGTAACTGACCGCCGCAGCCTGTGAGGAGAGACCACCGACAGTCTGCGTTCCCCCGTGCCGTATCCTGGCTATTGCACCAGCCCACTGGCTCCTGTATTTACATTCAGCCGCCGTCATTCCCTGGCTGAAGCTATTCAAGCGCCATGCGTGCTTACAATACAGTACTATTAAAAAAAAAAAGTGGGAAAAAAGTCCATTTCAGTTTTGGCCTGACAAATTCTGCTTCGGGAGGTGCATTGCAGTGCCATTAATTTCAATGGCAACCCAAACGCGCCTCCCACCCACAGTGCGATTGGCCGCACTGGAACGCTCAGTACCGCAATGCTGTGTGTTCCAATACAGCGCATGCAGTTTTATTCTGAAGTAAACTTTGTAACACTGCATTTGTGTATTTCATTTTAAATTAAGGATGGTATTTAATTTGTTTTATCTAGGGCTGCGAAAATTAACGATTAATTCCTTGATTAAATCGTTAATTTTTTTTGATCGGTACTCACCTCTCCGCCGGCTTCCGGGAGTTCCGTCGGAGATACGGTGACGTCATGGACAGACGTCACCGAACTCCTCCCCCCTTCCCCAAGTGGCTTCTTCGGCTAACGAAGGGAAGGGGGGAGGAGTCCGGCGACGTCGATGTCCGTGACGGCTAACGAAGGGAAGGGGGGAGGAGTCCGGTAACGTCGATGTCCGTGACGTTACCGGACTTCTCCCCTCTTCCCTTCGTTGCCCGTCACGGACATCGACGGCTCTGCCTCTGCTGAAAATTTGATGAAAAATCTACAGCTATGCTAGGCAAGAAAAAAACCTCTTTAACAATTGCCCTGTTTACAATGAAGAGGTGGCACTGTCACCCCTGCCTAAGCGCTCCTGCATCAGGCTGATGTGGCATCACATATCTTGTAATCCTGCCACTTTATTGCATGATTGACAGCTCAGGTAAGGAGTGTTGCTGTCAGCCAATTGAGGCTGCTTTTTTACATCAGCAGAGGTGAGGTTTCACTGCAGTCCCATTCCTTCCTTGATAAATCCCCCCGACTGTATATGGGGAAGGTTTGTTTCTCATCCCAACAGTACTTACACTATAAGTACTAGTTTAGTAATTGTGCTACAGTATAATTTATTTCTGTGTTTTGCTAAAATGCTTTTATTTGTGCACTGTATACATTACAGGTAAAATCATCTGTGAAGAGGCCACGTTGTTATTCTGAGTTGGCCCACTCAAGCGGCGGCCATATTGAGTGGGGCACGCGAGATTAATAACGTGCTGGATTAGTGTGATCCTAGTTCATTTTATTACTTCATTGCTGTTCTGTATGTGTATAGGCCAATGTAGTTGGATCTGTATGTGCGTTATAATTAATGGATTAAAAAAAAAAAAAAATTTTTGATTAATTGAACACGAAAGTTGTAATCAGTAACAGCCCTAGTTTTATCCGATTAATTGAAAAAGAAAATAAAAAAAATTAGCCAACTAATCAATTATGAAAATAATCATCAGTTGCTGCCCTAAACCCCATATACAAAGAAGTGGATAGCAGGGCATAGCAGGGTAAATGTTCTACATTCACAAGTCTATCAGTCTCTAACTGACTAAAAAGAAGACAAATATAGTTTATTCTGTTATCTCAGCAGTCACTCCACAACAGTGCTAGCTGCAAAGCCCAATATCAAATCTGTATACGAGATCCAATCCTGCAATATGGGACCAAAGGACAGAAAATGTGACTGTCGTATCTAAAACATCCATCTTCTTTACAATAACTACTCATTAGTTTAGAGTGAATTACTAGAACTGTGATGATTTCCAAGCCTGAGAAAGTGTTCTACTACTTTGTATGTAACATTCAATTACTATCAGATGCATTTCATTCCACAAAAATACACATTTGAAAATTAACTAAAATGTAAAAAAAAAAAGGTAATGTGTTGAAATGGGGGAAAAAAAGCCACAAAAAAAAAAAAAAAAACTAGAACTGAAGAGAATTAGCAGATCAGCTGATCGCTGGCAGATGACAGTCATATGATACTCACAAAGACTGAATATTGCATCACAGCCATTTACACAACCTGCTTAAGTCCCCAGAATATGACAAATCGGAACAAAAACAATACGGCAATACATAAACACAAGGATCTGAGAAATTGCATTTATACATTATGGAAACATTTCTAAAATGTATCAAAATAAGGCAAGTTTAGCACTAGGCTCTGTTCACACATAGCAGTTTGAAGGCAACACTGCTTTCCGCACGCTCATCTGCACATTCAAACAAACGTGCGGTTTTCGTACATTTGCAGCTACCACTATACTCGGAACGAACAGAAGTCGTCAACACTCCCATGATGGACTACAATCTCAATACAAACTAGAAAACTAACATGAGATTGTAGTCCACCACAGGAATGAGCTTGGAGTGGTGGCTACTTTACAACACACACAGGGACCATGGGGAACAAAAGTAGCCCCCCTCCAGAAGGAAGGACAGTGTCGGCACCAATTCAGAGATATTATGAGGATCTATAGCCGAGTGGTACACAAATAAGATACATTTTTCTTAATAGTTCAGGTACTTGAATGCATTTTTAAGATTCAAAGTGACATTAAAAGGATATTTATTTTCCTTCCCCCCGCTGTTAGTGTAAGGACTTACCTTAAAAGGGGTTCTAAACCCTCCCGTTTTTCTGCCTATATCTACTGCTATCAATCAGTAGATACAGGCAAACAGTTTAAAAAAAATAAAATAAAAACGCTTTAACAGCGGTTTAAACTTACCTTGTTTTCGCTGTGCGCTCCCATAGGAGAAAACAAAACTATTCGGGCGGCCGCAAAGCGTCTTGGGGCGGGCGCATGCGCAGTTCAGATTCTCGGCCGGGAGACTAGCAGAGACGCAAGGTAAGTCTATGGAAGCGTGCACCCGCATGCAGACACCGCTGGATCAGAAGGGCCTGCAAGCAGAGAGGAGTCAGCTCTGGATTGGAGAGCCGCCACACCGCTGAAGGGACAGATGAAAACATCAGGAAAGAAGAGGAAGATCGGATTAAGAGACATCATTTAAGGTAAGTGCTAACATTGATGTTGGGGGGGGAGAGAAAAAAATGTATCCTTTAATGTCACTTAATCCGATCATCTTCTTCCTTACTGTAGTTTTCAGCCTTCTCTCCAGCGCTGACTCCTCTGATGTCCCAGAGACTGTGCGGGTGCACGCTGCTCCAAAGACTTACCTTGTGTCTCTCCTCGTCTCCCGGCCGAACATCACATCTGAACTGCACATGTACCCGCCCCAAGATCCTTTGGGGCCGCCCGAGACTCTTCAGATGTTCGGACGGGAGCGTGCAGTGAGGACAAAGGAAAGTTTAAACCTGTTTCAAAAGGTTTTGGGTTTTGTTGTTAATGTTTTTGTATACATCTACTGCTTGCTAGCAGTAGATATATGCAAAAAAAAAGTGTGAGGGTTAAATAACCCTTTAACTCCGGAGTTCAGTGTCACTAAGTCAAATCCACTTACAGTGGTAAATATTTGCAGCTCTTTAGCAAACCAGAGCTGAACCATGTTTTTGGATAAAAATGACACACACACCAATTCTGATTTCTAAGTTAAGTGACACCCAATTCAAAAAGGTTTCTGTCACCTAATGACAATGTCTCAATACTACTAGATGAGATGCCCCCCCTATCCATGTTACTCTACATAACAGAGGTGATGAGGAATGCAGAGCATGCAGGGAAAAGGAGACAAAGCTGGGAATGAAGAAATCGGAGTGTGGGAGGCAGCAAGGGTGAGTCATACCATCTCACTATGTGCTCCCAGGCAGAACAATGCTCCGTTTTAACCTTGAACTGCACCGTACATTAAAGCCTTGGAAGAAAATGACCGGTCTGCATACCCACAATGCTTTGCATGCATTAGCAATTGATTCAAATGTTCATAAACTTGTAGCATAGAGATCACAGAATGGACCATAACTATGCACCCACCAGACAGGTGGACATGCACTGAATACTTGCTTTGACTACTTTTGGCAATCAGATTAACACGGCCAAAGACTAGAACAGTAACTAAGGCCAGACAGCTAGAAGATGCATCTCACAGAAGTCACAGAGAAAAGAAGATGGCCGTTTTACTCCACATCTAACAAAGGCCACCTAATTCTCCCAAAACAGGTCCCCTGTCCTTCCTCATGTCAGCTCAGCCCCTCAACCCCACAGGAGATCCTCCTAACTAATCCATAAAATATTTGGACCACACTCACCCCAGTATTCTATTTCAGTCCTCACTCTGGAAATTCCCAAAGTGGATGATGACAAATCCTTACAAGTCACCCACCCAGATTCAGAGCAAGTGGGACTTGTTGGTTGTAAATGAACCCAATGGTGGCATGTCCCTTGAGTGTCAGGGCCGTAGTGTACCTGGCTTAGGCTCCATTCACACACAGCGTTTTCAGCGCGACACAAAAACCTGCAAATGTTAACATAAGCGCAGATTCCGCACATTTGCAGCTACTACTATAGCGGAACCCATCCAGAATATCAAATCTGGACTTTTTTTGCACAAATCGCGTTTTCGCACCGCGTGGAGGTCGCGCAAGTGTGAACAGGATACATTGGAATGTATATTAGATTTTGTTTTGCGCGTTTCACCGCTGTGTGACCGGAGCCATAAACAGCCGATCCTTTATTTACCAGTGACTCAGTATAGTTACTTTTAAGTTTCTTTGCTTACTGTGATTAACCTTTTCATTGCTTCCATGTTAGGGTTGTACCTACAGGATGGTTTCTTCTTCACCCCTAGTGACAGCCATGGTTTCTACAGGTGCTTTGGTATTGTGGTTCGCTGATACTAAAGGAAACACATTTTTTTTTGCTTTGGATAGAATAGAAAAAAGGCTAAAACACCCAACAGGTTTTTCTAGCGGTGTCCCATGAAGGGGGGAGGGTGCAAATTCCACTCACTTCCTGTCCAACACAAAAAAAGATCTCTCCAAAGTGAAGGGCAATTCTCTCAGAACGTTGTCACCTGAACAGGTACCCCCAGGGGAAGATGACCTGGGATAACATTTAGGTCTTCCCACCACTTCCTGTGCTGCAGACTGTGGTCCCCAGGACAAATTTAGATGGGGAATCTCCCAAACAGTAACAGAGGCCAAAATAAAATCCTGCCATATCCCAAATAGAGTTTACGGCTGGCACATTGATACAAGTCCTACAAAAAGACGGTCTCTGTGCTACACTTTTATTGTATTATTCCCTAAGTGTAGGTGAAGATGTGTGTCCAGGGCTGGACAAATCCCAGGAGTCAGGTAGCCAATGTTCCATTACAACTGGCATCTAATGTTTAAGGATTTCTCTAGTCGTCATCAATGGAGCCAGATCCTAAAAAAGTTCCTGCTGGCTCCTGGATTGGACAGACTGGCTCCTGGATTCCATATTATTCTGTCTTACAAAAAAGGTACGGTTGTCGATTCCAGATGGTCCATAGCACCAAAAGGATCAGATGAAGGCACCCAATTCCAAGAGAATATGTACATCTTGGTATGTTGTCCCTGGGAGACGAGTCCTATAGAAGTCTATGAGGCTCTACTGCACGGGCACAGCCAGCAAAGAGAGGACTTTGGTGAGGAACGTAAAACACGGGAGGCCCCAGATCTCGGTAAGCATAGATCTGTACAGGGGAATTTCACCTCTATCCTTGTTCTGGTGGCAACTTAAAATCTTTAAATTTGCCTTCACTTTCAGGCTCAGGGACAGTGGTGACCAGAAAAAGAGGATAGAGAGGGGGAATCAGACATCAATAAAAGAAAGACCTGACAAAGGTTCGACCTCTCACCACATTTTGCCTTTGTACATATTTTAAAATGTGGACTTTTGTTCTGGTGGCTAAAATGGGATTTCCTTCCTGTTGTGTCTCCAGAACAGGAAGAAAAGGGAAACCTCCTCAATGGAAAAGAAAAATTCCCCACTCATCCTAATCTCTTTAATGTAGGGATGGCCAAACTGCAGCCCTCCAGCTGTGGTGGAACTACGAATCCCATGAGGCTTTGCAAGATTCTCACAGCCACAGACATGACTCCCGGAGAGAGATGCTTCATGGGATTTGTAGTTTCACCACAGCTGGAGGGCCGGAGTTTGGCCATCCCTGCTTTAACCCCTTCGTGACTGACGACGTACAGTGTACGTCGCCAGCATCGGGGCTGTTTAAACAGACTCCCGGCGACTTTTGCCGCCGGGAGTCTGTTTAAACTTGTAGAGCCGACATGTAGTAAAGGGGGGGGATAGCTGCCATATTGGTCACCGGTCATATGAACCAGATATTGAAGGGACAGATGGCTTTTTTTCCCCAAAACAAAGACGTCTGGATAACAAAGAAGATATTATTTAAACATAATGGATCTCATCTAATAAGATTCCCACCAAAGCTTGAATTTCCTGAGTGCATAGCAGGTAGAATGAGATCACCAGACCAAGAAAAGTTTTGAGTCCAAAATCTTTTTCCCAAAACAACATGTTTGCGGTCATCAGTTAAGTAATTAAAGCGTTCTTCTAGATAATTGCCGGCTTTGTATTCTTTGCATACCTTATTTTCTTTTCTTCCCCAGTCTTCTGACAGTGGCCATGTATGCTAAGGGCAGATTACTAGTTCTCCTATTACTTCCTAGATTACTGGCACATGTGACTAGGACATGTGACCATGCACATCATCTCAGGGGAGGAAAATGTCTTTCCCTGAGATCTCATAAGATTACAGATGAGATTTCCCAGTATGCACTGCTTTGCCAAACTGAAGTCATTTTGCCCTTTCATAGCAGGAAGTGAATGCTCTGCCAGGGTAAGTATTTACAATCACAACATTGTACAGCTGACATGTCTATGTTATTATTCATCACCATACATAGAGAGATGCATTGGTAGAATTTGATTTTTAGGTGTAAAAGATTTTGGATTGTAAAATGTTGTTGGTCTGTCGCTCTCATGCTACCTGTAACATTTGGATTTCTCAATTCGGGTCCTAGCCCATCCCCTAGGGGTCTCCCACTTCCGGCAGAAGAACCGCCTAACCTAAGCCATTAGGCTCAAGCAGGGATTCCACCCTCTCCTCTAAAAAAAAAATGTAAGACAGATACCAGTCCAGCGCCTTGGTTGCTATTTGCTTCCAGACCTTTATTTGAGCGTGATTGTAAGTTGTTAGCTGCAAAAAACACATGAATAATGCGTGTCTTTTAGGTGCTCCCCATAGGGGTCTTTGGACAGAAAATGCACAATTCTGCCTGGGGAAAAAAGAAAAAAGTTCCTGTGCTTCTCTGAGCTACTAGTAATCAGCAGCACCATGCTCAGGTGTAAACAGGCACCACGTCGGTGACAAAACGCTAAAAAGGTGCCCATACACTTTACAACCCTCGCAAGACTTTAGTCTTGCGAGGGTTGTAAAGTACTTTTTAAAAAAACGTACGATCTGCCCATCTTGGACAGGCAGATCGTACTTGCAATCCCCTGAGGGGCGGGCTTCCGATGACTGTAATGAGGGGCGGGCTTACGATGACTGCAAACAGGCAGTGTGCGCGTGCGCACACCGGCCCGTTCGGCAGTTGTCGAACCAGCAGGCCACTAACTCACCGAGAAGCGTACGATTCCCGGCGGGTTTTCTAGCATGCTGGAGACGTGCGACTGTACAGTAGAAACGGTTGCACGCCTTCCATACACTGCACGATTATCGTACGATCGCAGGATTTCCCGCAATTCTCGTACGAGAATCGTGCAGTGTATGGGCACCTTTAGGTGTGAATGGCGGCTATTAGTACTCTATCTTGAATGGTATTGTAACTGTAATGTCTTCCTTATATTGTAAAGCGCTGCGCAAACTGTTGGCGCTATACAAATACTATGTAATAATAATAATAATAATAATAATAATCATAATAATATGCATACACAAGCATTTAACCCCCTCAGTGCAGGAGGAGCCCCACTGGAAGGGACATTTCTTCATCTCCCTGAAGCTGAACTCCAGGATTAGCAAATGTTGTGTACATACAAGAGTCATGTGTATCCTTACTTGAATCTTGGTGTGTTTTGTGTATTTCTTCCAGTAATACAACATTAAAATATCCTCTAAACAAGAGCTTCCTGTAATAAAGACCAGTCACTGCTGCACTCTCTTTGTGAAGGGTGACTGGTCTTTTCTCCACCCCCTTACCTGCAGGCAGTTTGTAGTGGGCAGGGCCTGCTGGGTCCCTCCCACAGCTCTGCTCAGGCTATATGCAGGACAGTGATGGTGTCACCACTACTTTAACAAGGTAATATCTCGCCATGAAAAGACATTTGGAGCACACAAAGAGTATTTATACCCATTGGGTCTATGGAGGAACAGATTTAAAGTTGATGTGCCCAGAGTTCAGCTTTAAGTTTCCTATGATCAGTCACACATGGGATCCATTACAAATCCCATCCTGATTGGACAAACATGATGGGAGCTTCGATGGAGGGTGCTGCTGGGGTCTGAGCGGTCACAATCGGTCTCTCGTCCCTGACCTGGCTGGGTAGAAGAATAACAAACACACCCCACCAGGAAAGAGGAGAAGTACGTCTGCGCACCACTACCAGGCCGGTGCCTCTTAAAGAAAGTGTAACCGGATAAGAGCTCCCGTGCCCCGCCCGGAGAAGAGCCCCTAGGGTGCCTGACTACACATTACCGGAAGCGGCGAGGGACATACCTTTGTCACTGGGCTCCTATAACACACACCGGAGACCGTTACTCTCAGCTGGAATGGCCACACGACGCCTGCCTGGGGAAGTAATGACGTCACAAGGCTGCGGTTCCACTAAAGACAAAGCGAGAACCGGGGGCGGGGCCAATGAAGAGGCGTCACTCAAGAAAACGAGACTCGTGACCGCTGCCTCGGGGAGTATGTCAGAGCTGGAGAGGGAGGGAGGAAGAGGCGGGGGCTTACTGTCAGGGTACGCCCCTTTCCTTCCCAGAGTTTCGCTTCGTGGGGATGACGACGTTACTGTTTACTGCGATGTACTTCCTTCTGATGTCACATCGTCCTGCCCCGTTATCAACTGAATCCCATCATCCGATCCTGGATGCCTGACCCTGGAGATGTCCTTCCAGGCTGGACATCACATTCCTGTTCTCTACCATGTTCCTTTCTGTGTTTCCTGTTACCTGCTGACTTATCCAAAGATAAAGGCTCACTGACCTGCAGGTTTACATGCTATCACTCACTGCAGGCCTCATTCACACTAGTGTAGTGTGTGAACGTGCATGAATTCCCCTACTTTGTGCATGTATGCAAAAAAAAAAAAAAATACATGTTGCACTTGTGGTGCTATTGTTTGTTAATGGCACCCCAACTGGTTAATGTGGTTTTTTTTTTTGCATGTGCAAAGAAAACACTCAAGTTAGAAAAACACTTGAAGCTTAAAAAGGTGCACAAGCTTCACGTGAGCGCATAAGTGCGACACGTGATGCCTGGCTTTGCAAGTTTGAATGGGGGTCCAGTAGGCTTTCCTTCTGGCAATTGGCTTGTATTTTGTTACCCCCTTTCACTAAAAATCACATCAGCGTGCAGCTCTGCATGTCGATATGAAATCATTTACATTCATTCGTTAAACATTTTTCTTTTACTCACAGTCACAGTTTTTCCACTTCCTGGTCCTCTTAGGCCTTAGTGATGTAGCCTGTGTCTAAGCAATGCATCCTGGGAAGGTTACATTGCTGGGAAATTCTCATCCGTTTAAGGCTGGGCACACACCTTACAACCATCGCAAGACTTTTGTCTTGCGATTGTTGTAAGGTACTTAAAAAAACGTACGATCTGCCTATCTTGCATAGGCAGATCGTACTTGCGATGATCGCAAGCCACGCCCCCTGAGGGGCGGGCTTCCGATGACCTCAATGCCGAACGGGCAGTGTGCACTTGCGCACACTGGCCCGTACGGCTTTTATCTTACGAACATGCTACAGACCCGCCGAACATCGTACGATGATCGGCGGGTTTTCGAACATGTCCGTAAGTTAAAAGTCGTGCGACCGTACAGTAGTAGAGGTCGCACGGCTTCCACACACCTTACGATAATCGTACGATCGCGGGATTTCCCGCGATTATCGTACGATTATTGTAAGGTGTGTGGGGACCTTTATGCAAATTCTCATTTCCCTCCCTGAGGTGATGTGCATGATCACATGTGCCAGAGTTCCAGGAAGTAAAGGGAGATCTATTAATCTGCCCTTAGCAAAAATGGCCACTGTGAGAAGAAAAATCAAGTATGCAAAGAATACAAAGACGGCAATTATCTAGATGCATGTGTTTGCAGATTATCATTAAACATTTCTGAAGGTGATATGTAACATGTGTGATGTAGTCGTCATTTTCACACATAGGTGTGTTCGATGCATTCTTGTGTTTGTACGTGGGGGCAGGTGGCTTAAAACTTTTTATATGTGACTTTAATTTTTAAACTTGCTTGTTTTTTACACTTAATGTTATTGCTAACACATAGGTGGCTAACAAGTCTGCTATGTGCAAGCACAGATACAGTGACAGGTCCTCTTTATGGAGACATTAGGGGACTATTAGATCCTTAATGTCACCTAGGGTCCCCAAAGAAGCCGATGAAGTAGAGATCTACCAGCTTCTTCTTCGGCTACAGGAGGCGGGGAAATGACACAGGGAAACCGGAAGTGATGTCATTCACATCACTTCCGCTTTCAGTGATCGGAGGGGAGATTAGCTGTGGATATGTGCTGATCTTAGTGCAGAGACCCGACCTTGCTAGTCCCGGCCCTGGATAGCCGTCAGCAGAGGGGCGCACTTTCCCAGGCACCATACCAACCAATGGGTGACTCAGTAGCTGCCTGAATGCTTGTATGTAGCAGCCGTTGTTGGCTGTAAACAATATTAACGTTTCCTGCTTGCAAGCTCCCCCCCAATGGATGGCAAAGGACTTAAAAAACGGCCACCCGCCGTTAAGAGTCCACCATCCAGCCGTTTAATTACAATGGTTGGATGGCAGGAAGTTAAAGAGACCACTCACAGGGCATGTACATTGTATAAAGGCAGTCCATTCGTTTGAAGGGGGTTCTCTAACACAGTCTTTCTCAACCTTTTCTTCATTCGTGGCACTCCCTTAAAAGTAGGGATGCACAGATACCACTTTTTTAAGACAGAGTACGAGTACCGATACTTTTGATCAACTACTCGCTGATACCAATTACCAATACTTTTTCTTAAAGGACCAGGTCACATTTTTTCTAAAGCAATACAAACTAATGATTTTAGGTCAGTTTCTTAATATTATGATTCATGAGATGACGAGGGAGCATGACGCCGGCTTCCCGGCCAATCAGAATGCCGGGCGCTGCGTCATTACACGGCACCCGGCTTCCGGATTGGCTAGCGTTCTGACCAATCGGGAAGGCGGGCAGCGCGTCATTACACGCTACCCGGCTTCCTGATTTGCCATGCTCTCTCGTCACAAGTGAGCATGGAGCAGTTTCCCGGCCAATAAGGAAACCGGGCAGCGTGTAATGACGCGCTGCCCGGCTTCCTGATACAGGAAGTACTCGTGCTAGGTATCGGAGCATTTGGGCGAGTACGAGTACTCACCCAAATACTCGGTATCGATACCAGTATCGGTATCGGTGCATCCCTACTTAAAAGTATTCAAACGTTCGAGGCACCCAAGTGTAAAATATGAAAAAAGAAGTAAAAAAACAACACATGCCATCTCCAAAATTGATAACATACCCTCATCGCAGATTAGGGTCTGGTATGAATTTTAAAGAGGTACCCTACGCAAAAACACAAAAAATGGGCTTCCCCTTCAAATCAAGAACCCCCTTTTACTCAGAATTATTATTATTATACAGTATTTATATAGCGCCAATAGTTTGCACAGCGCTTTACAATATAAGGAAGACATTACAGTCACAATACAATTTAAGACAAGATGGTAAGGAGGGCCCTGCCCGTGAGGGCTTACAATCTAAAAGGGAGGGGCAAGTGATACATGAGGAGGTAGCTGTGCGCGGATGATTGTTTGAGAAAGTGATTGTTCAGTGGTTAGGTTGAGGTGGGATAGGCTTCCCTGAAGAGATGAGTCTTAAGGGATCGCCTAAAGGCAGTTGTGACGGACTGCACCGTCACTGTGCTAGTTGGAGGGGGCTGCAGACTGGCCTCTTACCCACCGATTATGGCCCAGCAAGAGAACAGGAGATTTTGGGGCTAAATGTACATTTTATATGCAGACAGTGACTCTCGCCCTCTGTGAAATATATGTTTTAAAATGGTGGAGGACAAGGAGTGATGGGTCCGGATGGCCCGGGGAGAAAACCATTCTCCCTTCCCCGCAAGCAGACACTACCCCAGCGTCTGCCACCCCAGCAGAAGCGCTGGCTACGGGGCAGAGCGCCGCTGGCCTCTGCCCAAACCCCATTACAGATCCGGAGAATCTGAGAGCAGATCCCAGCATGATGTCTCCGCGCCGGTGGATCACAGAATGGGAAGCGGAGAAAGTCGCTCTCCCTTCCCCGCAAGCAGACACTACCCCAGTGTCTGTCACCCCAGCAGAAGAGCTGGCTACGGGGCAGAGAGTCAGGTACCTCTCCCCAATAGCAGTGACACGCCCCAGGATCCAGTGAGTGCGGACAGGCGGTCCTGGCCTGCAGCGGCTGTACGTATGTAAGTGAGACAGAACGTGCAGTTCTAATCCCCAGCGCCAGAGACAA